TGTAAGATCTACCACCGATTATTAGTCGTCACTACTTTAAACTAGGAGAACAGAATTGTTTTGTAGTCAAAGGAACACATCTTAGTCCTTGTTACTTTGTATGCCTTGTTGATAGTGACAAGACTCGGCTTTGTCCACCGAGGATGATCTTGAAACAAGGAAAAAATGAGTTAGTTAGTCTTCATTTATGTGATTCCTAATCTTCTATTCGCTGTTCCCTAGGTTTGAAGTGGTTAAGACTAAACTAAGGACACGGGATATACTTCAATAGATCAAATTAGTGGTCGCAGTGTTGTTAGGTCCCGAACAGAGGAAAAACAAAACAAATCCTTAACTGTAATATGCGCGACCGGGTACCCAGATACCTGCCTCTCATTTGAAAAACACGGTGTAGAAAAACACAAAAAAATCCCCACGCATAGGGTTTTGAATCTAATTTCCGTCCTACTAAGCATAAGTCACATTTAACCTCTCTTTTTAGATAGGATATGAACTCCAAAAAGTAAGTGATTCTACTTTCGATTACTTCTAAATTCATTTGCTTTTCTCTACGTACCTTTGAATTTGATAAAGAGTGACAAATTATTGACATATCGTAAGAAATATAACAATCAAGGAGTGCAAATTCGTCCTACGAGTTTCAATTCCGTCCTATCTCATTGAAATGCTATTGGTTTTTCTAGGTTTTTCATTGTTCTACAAATGAAGACAGAAGAAATTGATTCGCTATGAGGACTTCTTTTGCATTGAGAACAATGAGTGTAAATGCTCATACAATGCGCTATCCGAGCAAAGTCGGTTAACAAAATGAAAGCAAATCGATATTAAAGTTTGCAGTTCCTATCATAATGAAAATTAATTTTGATTACAATTGTCGCGACATAAGTCTGATTTCATATTGTGCTTTGATTATGCAGTCAAGACATCTTAAATCAAAGCAACTGAACTTAAAGCTAAGACAACAAATCAAGAAGACTGGCAACTGTGCCAGAATCCAAGCGACATATACAAAAATAACCTTGTTGTCTACAAACAAATCATCCTTCCCGTAATCGAGTACGGTATGCCAATCTGGGAGAGTTGCGCCAAATGCCATCACCTTAAACTCCAAAGGATCCAGAACAATATTGTTAGGATGATTCTAAACAGACCCCCACGAACTAGAAATTCTGAGATCGACCTGCTGGCTGGAATTCAGACATTAGAAGAACGGAGAGTTTTTATCCTGGAAAGGTTCAGAGACACCTGCCTGAGATCAACTCATCAGATCATACGTGATCTAGCACGTTAGGCTAAGTTATACTCGTAGTTAGGTAGGTTATCACTTTTTTTCAATTCAAGCATAACACACCCCCCAAGGGGTATTCTGTAGACTAGTAGAAGAACGTGAATACGTAAATTAGAATAACAAATTAAACAAAGATGAAGAGCCTGATAGCAAAGACATCATATCAAGAAGACTGGCAACTTTGCCAGAATCCAAGCGACAGATACAATAGCGCTGCGCTTGAGTGAAGGTGCATAGAAAAATGAGCAAATACTCAAACCCTTCTTCTGAGGATGTAATCTTTGCTATCTATCTATCTATCCTTTGAGCGGCAGTATGAGAAAATGGGAGAGTTGATTTGTTATCTTCGCAAGACTTCAATTGCTGTTAATTTCTTGTTTAAAATTTGATTTAAGTTCATCTGTCGTTGAACTAACGATTATTGTTTATTGTTTAACACATTTTAGGTCATTCGTGACTAAACCGAGGTGAGATTTGAGATCAAGTCTTTCAGCGTGAAAAGCATGGATGCTAACCATTCAAGCCAAGCCCGTAGGCAGTTAAACATTATGAATGCAAAATCAGTAATCACATTGATTTCATTGAAAGCAGGATTAGTTTTTCGTTTGATTCAACAGTGTAAAATGTTGCTCTCATTTTTGCTGTGTTAACCGTTAAAAAAAAGTTACATTATAACAGCAAATTCTGATTTCAATTTGATCTCTAACTTTGCTCTGGTAGCTAATGAGCTAACGCATCGAAATAAGCGTATTTTTGATGATGATTTCTGCTCGATAGAACGGAAATGGGCGATTACGACGAAGTAGTGCTCTACCCTATAAGGGTTAAAATTCTCCTCAAAATTACATTGCAATTTCAGTCAAAAATCTCTTGGAATTCTCCTTTCAATTACGTTTGAACCGTTCTAAGCATTCTGTTGATTACATTGAATCTTACTCATGATTGTAGTGGTGTAGTTGTAAGCTTGACTGCCTCTCACTCCAAAGGGCCTGGGTATAATCCCAGAAGGTGCCGTCGGGATTTTGTGAGACATAAAATCTCTGATCACACATTCCTTCGGACGGGAAGTGAAGCCGTTGGTCTCCGGTCCAACGATGGGTCGATCGGTAGGGTCTAATTGTGAGCGTCGGTAGCATTGGTACTCAAACCAACAAACCAAGGAAAAAAGTGATTCGACTGTCGAACTGTTTACCAAACGTTCAGTTGTTGAGATTTCAGTAAAATTTCACAGAAAACTGTGAAATAGTCTTAGTGTGTAAGCTGCAAAACTTTTGCAAGCTCCTATGTTTGAATTTGGTTCTTTAACAATATCTAATTAAGAGCTTTTGAGTGTGTGGATTTATTTCCTTTAAATTCCGTTATAATTGCTTATCTTTTGACAGATACGCGTATTTCGTCTACTACTTGCAGACTTCTTCAGTGCCAAGTACTCAACACCACTTGGTACTGATGAAGTCTGCAAGATGTAGATGAAATATGCGTATCTATCAAAAGATAAGCGGTTACAACGGAATTAAAAGGAAATAAATCAACACACTCAAAAGTTCTTCATAAAGGAATTCCGTTAAGAAGCTCGGCAAAATTATTAATAGATTGAATATCTAATGTCTTGAATTTTAATGTTCGTTCCAGATTCTTGAAAATTGCTCCATCTCTGTTTTCAATAGGTTCAGGGCTTTAAAAAATGTTCTAAGTGTAGAATTTATAGGAATTATACGTGTCTACCCGATCAGGAACCGATAACTAACCGATAACATATGAATATCTTAATGTGTTATGATACCTTATTTTGGTATGCTTGTGGTATAAAACTTTGTTTTGATACTATTCAGTTATCGAACTATTTTGTAAAATATCAAATAAATATCAAAATAACAAAATGTGATCTTTCAGTTTTTAGACAGTAACACTTTAAAGAATTATTGTATTGGTATTAGAAGACCTTTCAAATAGCAAGTTATGGTATTCTGGCATAAAAAAGCTGTTGTTATCGTCAGTTATTATAATAACTTAATTAATTATTAGTTTGTTATTCGTTTTCCATTTTTGAGGTATTATTTTTGGTATTTTATCTCTTATGTCAGCCTCGTCAATACCATATTTAGGTTGCCAGTTATGATATTTTCATTCCTGAATTTGGTATCCATAAGGTATTTTCTCCTTTTCACCACTCAAATTTCAGAACGTATGTTGTTACTGAAGGTAAATCCACTAAAAAATTATTGTGTTCATAGTTCAATATATTCTATTCATATTTTTTAGAATTGCTTGACAATTGACATGAGAATTTCAAAATTCTTTCATAATTCCAGGTTTGTACAGGTTTTTTAAGGTAGTAAACATCCTGATATTAACTATCAAGAGGTGCAGGTGAACTCTGATTCCATGGTGTTAAATTGCATTTGATATTGGCGTGAAGTGGCTAAATGGAAGTTAGTTCAAAGCAAGCGAAATTATCCTTTTTGTACCACAGTTAGCTATTTTAGCTGTAATTATCACGATGTAGTTATCACGATGAGTGAGTACTCTTCGTTATAGGTGATTGCTTATCGTGACACTCTTGAAGCGAAATTTACAGGTTGTATATGTCATACACAAACTTTACCTCTTCTTCTTGCATCTTACATATAACAAATATTATCATAGTAGCATTTTAGCTGAAATGAGCATTTTCAAGGCTGACCATAGGAACGTTAAAATTGTTGAACCAATGAGAGTTTAATCTTTGCATAAAAGTCGTAATCGACGTTGACGGTGAACATCAACTAATTATAGATAAATCACTACTTGTTGACATTTCACCCAAATTAAAAAAATTAGAGTTTCACTCTGTGAAACTAATCTTTCATCTGCTAAAAGCATACGAAAAAACCTCGATATAACGTAACTGTCACTTTTGACCGTCTCATCGATATCTCTCAAATAACAATTCAATCATATAAATCAACACTACCAGTGTAGATGGAGGTTTGTCTCGACTTTCCGATGGAATCAATACTTTGCTTGATTGAATGATCGTTTGCGAGAAATCGGCGATGGAAGTCAAAAGTGACAGTTACATTATATCGATGTACTTTCTTTTAAAAAAAATGTAATGTAATGTAACGGCAGTTCTTCCAATGGACAATGGAGCGTAAAAGCAAGTTTTTTCCAGAATGAATATTTTCGCATAAAACATTGACGAGATGATTTTCTAACTTCAGGATTATTTGTTCGAAAATTTAGCAAATTGAAAAATTACAAAATTATTTAGAAAACCTTCCGACGACCACATTAATGAAACTGGTCATGCGGGGTGAAACATTGCAAATTCTGCAATCGAATCGAACATTCCTCGGTTATGTGCAAAAGCAATTCAATACGTAAGCCCCCAAGACCCAAGACCATTCTTCATTAACAAACAAATTCTCGCATAATTGCCCTCGCGCTGGACCCCTGCGCCACTTACAAAAGCATCCACACCGCTACCGAATCGAATCGCAGCGGTCGATCATTATAGATATAGAAGCTCATCCAAGGGCCGCCATTATCTGCGTACGTACTGGGATTAGCAAAACAATCAAAAACCCCGCGAGTGCCGCTACCGGTTCCCGCTTTATACCGCTAGAAAACACATATCTTCAATTATGCCTCCTGGGGCGGCGAGCAGAACGTGGGCAATCCCGTCGGCACGGCCAAACCTAAAACAAACAACCGAAACGCAGCAACTTACCGGTAGGCGATAGCTGCATCGACGGCGGTGGCGGCGGCGGACCGGGCTGCTGACCGGGCAGACCCCCGGGTGCCCTCGGTGGTGGTTCCATGCTCCACGGGGCGGCTCCACTGGTCGGCAGCTGTGCGAACTCACTCCCGATCGCCGATCCAATCAACATCATATGGACACGCGCGGCGGACAACACGTCGACGGGTACCCGTTGAGGAACCTCTGGAACGTTCTGATGATCGTGCTGCTTCTTGTTTTTTTTTTGTTTGCGTTCGAATTGTGTTCAAGGTCACACCTAACTGCACTTTATGAGCACTGTACAACTTCTGACAACCCGCATCAACCACTTGTCACTTGTCACCGTGCGGGCATCGGCAGAGAGGCTAATGTGAGTTTAATTGGCACACACACAGCACACGGTTGTCGCTAAACCAGCTTCCCACCTAAAGGAACACTCACTTCTGTCACCTATATTGGAGCTAATTAATTAATTATAAAAGTTGATCAGAGACAAATGGAGCTGACACTTCCGATGGGTTCTTCTCTCTTTCCTTTACGGTATGATCCACCTTTACAGGCTGCTCGTTAATTAACTCGAGGTCGGTCGATCCTCGAGCGCAAGTTGCTGTATTGGGCGTTTCTTGGGCGTTAATTACCGCTGGAAAATTCCCACTCGATCCAGAATTTGATTAATTCGATCACTTCTTTTTTTCTCATTTCACTCTGTATGGTGCTTCTCACTTGATCTTCCAGCTTCCAGCATTTCTTTCCATACACAACCTTCCGAGGGTCTTCAGACCTGCTTGTAGATCACCGAATCGCGCAATATTTCACTGCTCACAGAGGGTTCTTCACCAAATCAACACGTGCACCCGAAATTCTACTGAACTACGGAAGGTCCCATCGTAGATCGGTGATCGCGGAAACAGTCACTACAACGAAAGCAATCACAATTTCTCGTACGAGCACCGGTTGACCCGCGGAACATCTTGCAATCAGCCAACGACAACCACAACAATAACGACAACAACGACGGCACTCGGACGGGTGGTTGTGCTGTTCGGTTCAGATAGAGGTACGGCGCGTAACAACTCTCTTGGATACCAGTATCAGACTGAACGCAGGCAGGAAACGAGAAGCACGAAAGCGTTGAGCAAAATCAAGCACCCGTTGAGCTTGCGGAGAGCCCACAACTACCAAGCTACCTGAGCAACAGCAGCAGCAGCAGCATCGTTCAATCGGGGACGGGTTCTCAGGTGTAAAAGCGTAGAAACATACAGGAGAAACGCGATGATAGGCTGCACGGTGCTATGGCTGTCCTGCTCCGGCTCGAGGTGGAAGCGAGCGAGATGGCGCGCTGGGAAATTGGTCGCACCCACTGAGTTTACGTGGTCTTGCATCGACGATGAAGGAGGAGGGGGTGGCAGGAGGGTGATGTTCTGTTTATGGAAGCAGCTTGGCAGCCTTTTGGTTGGTGGTGAGCTGGGCAGACCGAGCCGAGCGTTGGGAAAGGAGACAGGGTGGGCTACGGGAGGGGGTGGTTAAAGTGGGTGCGAAGAGTGTAAAGCTACACCCGGTTTCGTGGCCGTTGGCGGTGGTGTTGAATGTGTTGAGCGAGAGCATTGCGCGCTGCCCTAATAAAAAATAACCATAAACGAACGATAACCCAAATCATTGAACTATTCCACAAATGGTTTGGATGATACCCAGAACACGTCGTTAAGAAAATTAACCATACAATTTTTATTAGGGTGGTGAGGGATTAAACGGTGTGAAGCTTTCGGTTGTGATTGTTACAATTGGAATAGCGACGGGAGCTGGTGAAGGTTTTTCTTTTGAAGTTAACCACGGTTTACGGGAATGGAATTGATACTTTGTTATATTGAATTCAAAACCAAAATATTGTGTTAATGCATTTAACGGGAACTTAACTGGCCAAAAATCGTTTTGATTTGTTCTAAAAATATTGGTGAAATTCAGTTTTTCTTTAGATTGCTGAAAAAATATACATGTAAAAAAAATGTTTCATATCTCATCATGAAGCAAAGTTGTACTCTAAAGTAAAACGAATGGTCAATTTTTGCGACTATTAGAGTTTAACTTTTTGCCCGGATGACTTAGAAAAAAGTTCATACACGACATTTTTTTAAGAAAAGAAGAAAATACGCCGATTGTTTTAGATTTCCGATAGATTTTCCAATATTTTTAGAATAATCAAAACATTTCGGAAGCAGTTTGAGAGTTCTGTTTTTGAAGTTCTCTTTTGGTGTCCATGTAGCCAATCCTGGACGATGTGTCTTGGATACAAGCTCTTACTTGAAGTTACCTCTTTTATCAGTCATTTGTAGTCCTGAAAAGGACCAATGGGTTGAAAGCTTGAAATTGAATCTCTTATCTCTGTTAGGGAAAATACATCAATCACCGGACGTGCGCGTACCGGACGGTACCTACGTTTATGCTTTTTGATGCAATTTTTAATCCCCTCTTATTAAGAAAATCCGGGAAGAATTTTATTGCATCAAAAAGTCAATCGATGATAATTTTAATTATCATAGCAACATTTGAGCAATTTTCAATAGTGACCTTTAACAGATTCGTAGAAAAATTACCTATCCATTGGCGTATTAAGAATTAAAATTCATCATCTTTGGATCAAAATCAGACCACTTTCATGCTGCGACCGACTTTGGTTTTTAAAATTGCACCCCCAACCCGATCAGAAAGGCATAACAAAATTATAACAACTGGTTTTATTTATTTAAAAAAAAAAAGTAGAAGAGGCTGTGGCTAGGGGCCCGAACGGAAGGTTGACGTAGGACCACGATTGGTCAGTACCATTCTTTTTGTGCTTAGCTGGTTTAGTTGTTTCAAATCTATAATCTTGAAATTCTTTAAATATTTCAAATGGTGGCCGTTTGTGTGAAAAGGGCCGTATCAATATACTAAATGAAATCGATACCAACAGGAAGAACAAAACCGTTGAGGAAGGGTACCGTGTACATGACGGGCATTATATTTTTATTCGATCTTGGTTCCATGGTTTGTAAGTGCCATCAGATTCTTTATGATAATATTATTATTGATCCATACAAATCTAGAAAGATTTTGTTGAGGGTAATTTACCATTATCTTTCGATCATAGATTGATGGTAAACTTAAAGTGGCATTCCTTTTAGTTTGATCAACAAATATGTTTTTGATAGTAGTTTTTATGATTTCACTACCTTATAGTTTATATTAGTCAGCAGGAAAATGTTTAACAAATTTATGTGTGTTTCCCCGTTCAATTTCAAAATCTATAAGAAACCAAAAAATACAACATATCAAACTGGCACCTTTTCACAACATGGTTCACAGGATGAAAACTTTTCCTCTTAGCGATACAGGCAAATCAAAGGAAATAGCTCTTATTTTTGAAATCGCTAGACTTAATGGGAATCAAGAAGAGCGGTTGTATCCAAGAACCGACCGTAGTTTTGACGTAAGGTTACGAAAGGTAGTGTTGATGTTGCAGCAAATGTATAGTAAATATTAAATTGATTTTTTAAATAGTCAGCACTGAAAAAGTTCGATAGGTTGAAATTCGGAGCAATTTGAGAGTTCTGTTTTTGAGGTGCTCCATGCCAATCCATTGTAGCCAATATGTCTTGGGTACAAGGTCATACTTGAACTCTTTTATTTGTGGTCCTGAAGAGAACCAATTGGTTGAAAGCTTGGAAGCCAGTTAAGAAAAAATGCTGTGGAATTATTTCCTCGATGATCTTGGAGATGATAGCGGTGCTCATGCATTGCATCTGGATCGATTGGTGAACATTTTGGTGAAGGGAGATGGCATAGTAGTCCTCAATTGATGTTCTTGGCGAATTAATACGTTACAAACAATGTACATCTTTGTTTCAAAGGGATATAGCCAAATGTTCTACCTTGTCTTGAAGACACTTCTCCAGCATTCCAGCCGTGTTGTCTCTAGCCATTCTGATCCTGTCTTGGTAACATCGATTTTTTTCAGCATCAGTTTTCGGTTGCTTCTTCGGACCTTTTGAAAATTGATAATCTTAATGTTTACAGATTCGTAGAAAAATTTCTTATCAATTGGCGTATTAAGAATTATAATCCATCATCTCTGGATCCAAATCAGACCACTTTCATGTCCCGACCGACTTTGGTTTTTTGAAATTTCACCCCCAATGTTGCCTTAAAAATACATGGTATGTTAGATTTAAACATATGGGAACTGACATTCGATTGTAGACCTTGACAAATATCCAGAAAATACTCTTAAACAAATTTAGGAACGTTTTGTCGTGATAGTTGAGTAATGCTAAGCTATTAGGGTGTTCAACATAGATGAGGCTGGTGAGCTGTATGTTGTTTGGAACAAGGGTGACGCGCTTGGTATAGATGCCGCAAAGTGACTCACGAAGCGCTATTGATTACGATCAGTAGCGGTGTGGCTTCTTCCTCCTACTTCGGTGAATGGGCGCTCATGTGGGCTGCAGCTTTCGCCGTGTACTGGAGAACAATCCACAATGCCTCGCGCCGAAAACACTGCTGCTGCTGCTGCTGATGATGACGACCGACCGGACACCACCACACACGGTGATTGAATAAGCACCGTTCAGTGAGACCGAATGGTATTCGATTTTGAAATCTGTGTTAGGGAAAGCGCTTTTTGCAGGCATTTGGTGATTATTTTGATTACCATTTTAACAGTTGGATATTTGTATACTTGTCATTAGTGACCTGTTGAAAATTAATAGCGTTCATTTTAGCAGATTCGTATAAAAATTTCCAATCGATTGGCTTGTTTAGGATTAATATCCATCGGCTATTGACAGTGTTGTAAGTGATCAAAACACGACCACTTTTCGTAACGCGTTCGAATTTGTTTTTTTTTTAATTACATGCTCAATATTGCCGAAAGACGTAACCCTATGTAAAAAATGTAACTGAACGTGTTTTAAACATTAGCTACAAAAAAAAATAAAATAACAAACATTCGTCTAGTGGTGACACAATTATAACAGACGTTGATATGATTATATCAAAATTGTTACAAATTTAGATATAATCTATCGCATTCAAAAATATACATCTATAACAACCGTTGTTATAAATTAGATAAAAAAAAATCCATATTCCGGCAATGGTTATGCCATTTCTTTTTCACATTTTTCGAATCTTAGTCAAATGATTTATTGCAAAAAAAGTTTATTATTTCCGGAATTAATCAACTGAAGGTCATTTTAATTAATAAAGAGTCATTATCTTGGCTTTTTTTATATAATATGCCAGAATTCGTTTCAAAAAGGGTGGAGCTTCATCAGGCAAAGATTTTGCGGCAGCCGGTTTGTATCCCCGATAAATACGGAGTTACAACAACCGATCTGAGAGAAAGACTGTAGTAATGCTGAATGAAAAATTAAGGTTACCTCGCACATATTTCACTTTTTCCGGCTCAAGTGGAACGCATTTATCTGTATTATGTGGCAATTGAGTCCGATGCTTGGTACCCGTCGTTTGTGGTCTTCTGCATGGATTGTTAGAGGATCGTCCATCAAATCATGAGATTCATATGGTGATGGAATTTCATTCATAATCTGGTTCAGAAGCAGTAGGCAGCCTATCTATTTCGGATTGCGGTCGGCAGAGTTTTTCGATGACTAATCAGAAAAATAAAAAAAAATATACATGCAGAATTCTTCGAAGGATACGATGAACGATGCTCCGGATCGGTATTTATTATCTTGTTTATTCAAGGTAAACAAGACTGAGAACATCCTATCTTTTTTCAGGAGCCTTCGAGTTACGATCAATCGTCAAAATTTCATGACAACATTCGTGCCAAAGACATAATGTTTATTTTTGGCACTGAATTTTTACATAGGGCACAAGCTTACCTAAGGAGGTTTGAAATACTTTATGAAAATGTTGAATGTTTTCAGCATAGGCAAAACTTTTCCCGAAAGTTTTACCACTTTTACTAATGCTCCCCAGCTCCAAAAGGGTTTATTTTTGTGTGAATTGTCAATATGGGCATGTTGTCCTCTTGTTCACTAATGACAGCAGACTAACAAGTTATTTTATTTTAAGATATGAAG